TATGTTGTATCTCTAGAGACCATTGTTTTGTCTTTTGATTCCGCACTTCGGATCCGTTATCGGGTCATCTTTCGGTTCATCACTGAAGTACCGGGTTGAAAAACTTGGGCCATCACAGGTGGTATCAGAGCGTCCGGGTTCGAATACCTTGGACGACGGGTTTCGGGTTCATATCATGCTCATGTTGTTTTGCTTTGATATGTCATTTGTATCTTGATAACATGCCTTGTTTGATAACATGTCTTGTATGATAACATGTTAATATGCTTACATGTTGTGAGACGCCTATTATTATTGTTACACATGCTTTCGGTGTATATGTGCTTCCTGATAACATGGTTTAGGTTAGTATCATGTCTTGGTGTGACATCATGTTTGTATGCTTGTGTTAGCATGACTGTATGCGATGTATGTCAGCATACCTTACGTTTTATTCACGTTAATTATCGTACCATTTACTTACATGCTTCTTGATAACATGTTTTGAGTTGACAACATATTTGTTTGCTTATGTGGCAATTTGTTTGGAAGCATACTTTGACTGTCTTAGTATATGATATATGCTTGTTTACCTTAGCACATGGTACCTGTTTGTCATCTTAACATGTGTTATATGTTTGTCTACCTAAGTATATTGTATACGCTTGTTCATCTTGACATGATTATATGCAGCATATCATCATACTTTACGTCCTTCTCCTGTATACTTTGATATGTTTTATGTGATCTTACTACTTATGTGAGTAGATAGTCTGTTGCTATGTTGTATGCCAGCTGTCTCCTTTTATGTCTGGTTTTGGCATTGTATCTTAGGATCTGTCGTATCCCTTGGATGCATTCTTGTTTCACGGGTTTCTTCTTTAGATAGGAGAAATTCATTCTGTAAGGACCTATGTCGGGAACCTTCTTGTCTGCTCTGTCGATTGATGCGAGTAAGGCTCATGTGAGCGTAGAGGACTACGATTCACTTTTTTTTTTTTTTCCTTATCTGGTGGATTGAGACGTGGGCCAGGGAGGCACCGTTTCATTTCTTTTTCCTTCGTGCCTTCTAGATCTAAGGCCTTAAGCATAATGGTGCCAGTGTCATTGTTGTCAGAGTTTTGGGATTAGCAACCCCAACTCTCGCAGATGCCTTGTTTCCATAGTGCCTTTGGTAATGACCATTTTCGACATTGATGTCATTTGTATCGAAAAGTTCCCTTCTGGAGCATGTTACGAACTAGTGCCTTATACTGTCATGCTACCTTATAGACAAGTAAGTGTGGGCGAGTTTTGGTCACTGCTCGTATTGCCTTGTCACTCTCTTCTTCTATCATGTTTCAACGTTTTGTTGTCTTTGGATTCTGTCGGTAGTTGACGTTGAGTTAACGTGCCGATTCGTATGAGGTGTTGTCTCAGTTTATGGTTTCGCATTCCTTCAGTTGATCTTTAGACTTCAGGATTTGTCCTTCAGTGCGTTGTGAGTTGTCTTTTGATTTGACATTTTGTTCGGTCATTATTCTGTTCTCTCTGGTATGTTCCTAATTTCGGGGATGAAATTCCTTTAAGAAGGGTAGGTTGTAACGACCCGGTCATTTGCCTTCCTTTCCTTTTTCCTGAAATTTTACGAATGAATTTTTTTTTGTTTAATTTTCTATTCTGAGCTCTGTTTCATGTCGTTTAGTGTCATCTCGAGTGCTCAGAATTGGTTTCTGAGACTCTTTCATGTGAATTGAAAACTTCCTTTGAGTACCGAGTCATTTTCGCGTTTTTCGTTTTCGGACACTATACGCTATTTCATCTTTTCCCTATTATGTCATTTTCCCTATTTCGTTTCTTCCCTATTATGTCATTTTCCCTATTTCGTCTTATCTCCGTTTGTCAGTTTTTGGCACAACCTCACTTCTCATGCTCGGAGTTAGTTGTTGACTTCACGTGCCTTCATCTTGATTGGTTTCCTCGAAATACGTATCTTTACTTTTGCAAGAAAGTACTCTGGTTGCTCCTGGTGTCCACAGGGGCATAGATGCACAATTCTTCAGAATCTTTTTCATTTCTTGGGGTATTTTTTGTAAATATCTTTTGAAGATATTTTATTTTAAGGGCATCTAAGAAAATATCTTTTGGAAGATATTTTCATTATGGGATAATTTCGCAGTTAACCATTTTTGTAGGGGCCATTGTGCAATTAACGAAAGTTATTGCAAAAATGTCTCGTTTGGAGCCTAGATCCTCATACGGGATTCATTTTCACATTTCGTCTAGTCATAGACTCTTAGAATTTCCTTCTGGTCGTTTTCCCCAGTTTTAGGGATTTCTGGCCCTAGTTGCCGTCGAACTTGTTCGGGGCATAACTTTCTGTTTGGGACACAGTTTTTGATGCTGTTTCTTTCGTTATTCATATTTTCTCATTTTAAATCTTTTTTGTTCACAGAGTTTTGCCGTTTGAGAGCGTTTTCTCAAAATCCACTTTTCCGGACCCGGCTGGGCCCTTTCGGGGCACTTTTTGAGACTTACTATAAATATGGGACTTAAGAACAAAAAAATCAGATTTCTTCTTCTTCTTCCTCTCCCATGGCCGGCCAAGCTCCCTCCCATGGCTGCCACTTTCTCTCTCCTCCTTTGATCCACTTTTCTTTGATGAAAAGTCTTCGGCCTTAACATTTGTTGTTCGTCTCGTCGTGCTCTACCATTACCCCTTATTAAAAACCATTTTTGACCAAATTTCGAGTTCAGGATTGAGGTCAAGTTTGGATTTTCATGGGGCTTCTTGGGGATTCATATAGATCGTGTTGTCCCCGACAAAACTTAGGAGTTTTGTCTGATTCGGAGCCGTTTCAATTCGGTGGGGATTTGGGACTTTCATCTCAAATTGAGGTAGGAGGTATTATAGGTTTAATTCTTGTTATATAACATGCTATTGATGCTTATATAACTTGATTGCATGCTTAAATATGAAATCTAGAGATTTTATTATTTAATTTTCTTGTATTGGATTTGATTTTCCCAGTTGCTTATGACTTGTTTTAAACATGTAGCATGGTAATATAATGCTCTATAATATGGTCATTGACATATATTTGAGGGAATTTGAACAAGTATTAAAGATTTTATTTAATATTTATCTTGAATAAAATATTAAATCATATGGCCTTAACTAGCTTAAAATCAATATGCATTAGTATATTAAATTAGGCCTTAGCATGCTCTCTAACGTAGTTGAATTTGAAAGTAATTGGAGGTGTTTTGAAAATTAGTAATTATTAATTAATTTACCCCGAGTGCACTATTCACTCTATTTGAATTCCGACTTGATATTCTTGATTTACATGCCATATAGCTTCACATATATTTGATTTAGAATATTCGGTTAGGTTTTGAAACCTTTTATTTAATTAAATTCCATGTTTAAGATTTAATCCTCATGGTGATATACAACTTGGAATTGTATTGTGGCATGCTAAAAAACTATGCTTAGGTATAGTTGTTCACATATATTAAATTGGGATTAATTGCATGAGAATTACAACTTTTAATTTATATTTAACTTTAGTGAAAGTTTATTTCACATGGTCTTAAATTGAATGAAATAAACTTGTAATGTGATATTACATTAGTTCTTGGCATGCTTTCCAACATAGGTTAATTTGAGAGCATTTGATTAAATTTGAAAATCAAGAGATTTTAATTAAAAGAATGAATTAAAATCTATTTTGTGGTCCCATTAGCTTAATTAAGGTTTTAACTTGATATTTGTATTGACAATGACTTGTTTACTAGTATATATTAATTTGGGACTATTTGAAGTTTTTTTAAAACCTTTGGATTTAAATTAGCATGATTTAATTAAAGTTCTACCGTGTTGTTGTATTTAAACTCATGAGCTTATGTTTTCAATATTGAATATATTGTTATTTTGCGTAATGATTTGCACACTTCATATTTAATATCATTCATTCATAGCGTGTAACGAATTGCACACTGAAGATTCAACATTCATCATATCATATTAGTTATTGATTTAGAGCATGTATTGTATAGGTTTCCAAAATTGGTTGTGCTTGGTAGATAATTGATTATCTTGCATATTCCTGTTGATATATGCGTTGTTGCACAACTTGTTGATTTTGGAAACTTGAGGATGTCGTTGTTTGACTATGGCTAGGACGTGGTTCTAGTACGGGAGATAGTCCCGCTATATAGTCTAGTGCGCACATAGGGAGGTTACCCATGGGCTAGTAACCCTAAAGTAACTATGTTGTCAGTCTGATCCGGTGTGACGTCCGAGTATCCACTTTCTTTGACTTCGCATTTCATTTTTAAGTTGATAACTAGATGATGTTGTAACTTATTGTTCCTTATTTGTCGTTCCATTTTAAGTTACATGATGTTAACTTTGCGAAATTGTGTTTTATGCGTTGTATTGGAAGTTCCAATGTTGGTTAAATTGCATCGATATTGAAAATTGTGTTTTGACGTTCTAACAAAGCTTATGATTGATCCTATTGATTCATTTAGAACTTAGACGTTAGGTGGCATGAACCACCACTGTTATTTTATGCTTTAGATTCTAAGTTGATGGCTTTGAGAACTTATACCTTGTTACATTGTATAACATGCTCTTTTGTTGTTGAATTGCATGGATAATATGATTCTTGTTAACTTGTATTCAAATATGCTTTTGTCATGTTATATGGATTACTCTAGATATAGTTCAATTGTATTGAAAGTGCAATTCATGTTAATCTATGCTTAAGCATTCTTCTTGTCGTGTTCTTTAGATTATCCCAACCATGATTCGTTTTATACACGTATGTATATCATGATTCTTGTTGCTTAGACTCTAAGGTAGCTTAGGATGCACCCCGAGTCTCACTTGGACATAGACGTTAGGTGGCATGAACCCCTTTAACATGTTTCACCTTAAGGTGATAAATTTGTAAAATGTTAGATCGATGCATGCTCATCTCCTACGAGTAGCTTTATGTTACTCACCCTTACAATACTGGGGCATATTTCAGGTACAAGAATCAAAGTTGAGGTCTTCATTATGCTTGGATGGTTTGTGGACTTGGAGACTTCCATTTTTGTGAAGGTTGACTCAGAATGCCTATTGTAGTCTTATGTGTCAAAATATGTATATTTGATTCCATGTATGTAATTTGTACTTAAGTACACTTCTATCAATATATTTGATATGTATGAGATGAGGCCGGAGGCCAATGACATGTATATTGTATTCTATGCAACTTTTAAACTTCATGAAATGTTATGAAAACTTTGAAAAATCGCAAGTCATTGTTTCACCATGGTTGTATCGGGTGTGAGAATTCCATTCTCATTCTTTCATAGGGTCTCATTAATCTTGTATGAAGTGTGGCCAAGGGCCAAACGGTCAATTGACTCCATTTTGTATTTTTGGATTCTATGTTTTCCATTCCAAGTCCATTTTTGCCTTTTTGCCCGTTGGGTGGTCGAATTTTGCATCGGCTATATTTTTAAGCCATGGACCATTGTAACACATCTAAATAGGTAGGTTACGTTTACGTGCATGGTCGTTTCCGGACAAAACTTCATCGTTTGTGTTTTGAGCCTTCTACGTACTCATTTTGCACTTTTGTTGCAAATTCTGATCTAGGGGCATTCGAGACTTTTCAATTTAGTTTTATTTCCTTTTTTCAACATGGTTGAATAGAAAATATGATTTTAGGTGGGGTTTCTTTTTTGTTTTTTCCCAGAAAATGTCGTCTTGGTATCGGAAATCGCATACGAAGTTCAGCTCTCAGTTTTTAAATTTAGCAGCTTTTTGGACCCTCTGGACCAGTTTTCTTGGGAGGGGATTTTGGGCATTTCATAGCGAGTTTTGTTCAATTTTTCTCACATGTCATGTAGAAAACTCGATTTTGAGGGGGGTTTCTTCTTTGAGTTTTTTCAGAAAACGTCATCTAGGCCCTCAAATTTTCATTTTTTTCGAAAAAACCCCTGCTGCCAGGTTTTTGGGTCGCACCCTTACTACCCCTTCACATCTAAACGTTTAGATGGGCCTTCGTAACCGGTTAGATGAGTGTGGGCAGCGTTTTTGTCACTGTTTTTGGCCTCCTAACCGGTTAGATGTTCATGGGTTGCCTCTTTTGGACCATTTTGTCCCTTCTTCTTCCGTTAGCCATATCTTCTTCATCCGGTCTCCGAATCAAGCTATTTTTGAGTCTAAGTTCATTGATTTTTCATTGTCTTTCCAATGGTGTGCTCGGTGGCACCCAATTTTAAGCTGGAAATGACGATTTTTCCCCTAGGTTCAATCTTGTTCGTTTTTGAAACGCTGCTTCCCCATTTGATTCCTTTGGGTTTCGTGACCTCGTTGAGGGTCATAATGGTGTCTTAGAGCTATATTGTATCTCTAGAAACCGTTGTTTTATCTTTTGCTTCCGCATTTCGGATGCGTTATCGGGTCATCTTTCGGTTCATCACTAACGCATCGGGTTGAAAAACTTGGTCCGTCACACAACATATATACATATATATACACATATAAACACAGTGCTTCAAGCTTCATCAATGGCAAATTTCATCATTAAAACATCATGGATTCAACATTTAAAATATGTATTTAACAACTTGAAGCTTGAAATCAAAGACGGAGCTTACCCAAAATCGAGGAGAGAAGATGAGATGCGAAGGAGGTGATGGAATCCGAGAGAAGAAAGAAAAGAGAGGGAGTCGAAGCTCACTGGATCTCGCCGGAGGTTCGCCGGAGATGGAGATGAAAATGGGTGCACAATGGCGAAGGGAATGAGGGACTGAGGGTTTGCTAATGAATCGATCTTGAGACCCTCGGGTTCTATTTTTTTAAAAAACTTTTCCCGTCCAGTTCGATTGATCGAACTGAGATTTCAAATCGATCAAACTGTGATGATCTCTCTTTAAAGTATTTTTGGAATTTTTCAAATTTTTGAAAAATTAAAAACTAAAATTAAAAATTAAAATTAAAAAATAGAAAATATTTTTGGATTTTTGAAAAATAAGAATAAGAATAAAATAAAATAAAATCTTTTTGGACTTTTGAAATAAATAAAGTAAAATCTCTCTCTCTTTTTTTTTTTTTTGGGAATAAACAAAGTAAATAAAAGAAAATCTTTTTGGTATTTTTGGAAAATAAAATAAAATAAAAATATTTTTGAATTTTTAAAAATTAAAAAGTCAACCAAAGTCAAAGATGGTGAGATGGAGAACTGAGATCGATCTGAACAAAATGTTCGATCGATCAGACAGAGAGCAAAAATATGCAGGTTTTTGGTTCAAAATTTTTTCTAAGTATTGGGACTCAAGATCAATCCAATGATGAAGTTGGATCGATTGAAGAACTTCAGATCGATCTTAAAATGTTTTTGATCGATGAGACAGATAGCTGAAATATGCAGGTTGATGCAGGCTCAAAAATTTTCTAAGTGTTGGAGCTCAAGATCGATCGAACTTTAAAGTTGGATCGATCTAAGGTCTTCTGATCGATCTTAGAACAAGTTCGAACGATGGGACAAAGAGGTGATTTGGATGCAGGTCGAAAATTTTTCCAAATGTTGGATGTAGGTAAAAGTTTGATTGATCGAACTCTCATTTGAGATCGATCAAACTTATGCAAAATGCTCAACTTCAACATGAAAGTGCATGCAATCATAATCACAGTCCCTAGCCATGTGTATGAACCAAAAACAAGTATCTAAACTTCGCAAGAAATGAAATTAAAGATAGAAATGGGGGAGGAATATGGTTTTGACACCCTACGAATACTTTTGCTAGTTTTTAATGTCTCTAGCAAGACATTGGGCTCTTTTAGCCTAGATCAAAGATCTTGCAATGCATCCCCTCCTTGTTGGGGTGATAGATGCTTTGAACTCTACCCAACAAATGGTTCTTTGAAGAACTTGTTGGATTTAGCTCAAAAGAAACTTTTGATCCCTTGTCAATGCAATCACAATCTTTGGGCTTCCATGCCCTTTCAAAGCAAGAATTTGAAACAATACTTTGAGAATGCAAGGTTGAAGGTGATCCCTTTGAAGTTTTGGTCTTACACAAAAGCTCACTTCCTTGACATTGAAGATTATAGCATTTATCTACAACATTAACTTCTCTTTCATATTTGTCAAATAAGTTGGGTGTGGGATTGAAGATGTTCAACTTCACCTTCATGTGGCCAAATGAGATCTTCATTATCCTCGTCCTACAAATGATGTTGGCATTAGCGATTGCCAAGAAAGGACGGCCAAGGATAACGGGAATTTGGCTTTTAGGATTGGGGATCGGTTCTGTATCAATGACAACGAAATCAACGGGGAAGAAAAATTTGTCAATCTTTATCAAAACATCCTCAATGATACCCCTAGGCTTCTTAATGGATTGGTCGGCAAGTTGTAAAACTACCGACGTCGGTTTCAATTCACCTAGGCCCAATTTGACATAAATCGAGTATGGAAGAAGGTTAACACTTGCTCCTAAGTCAAAAAGCGCCCGATTAATGATATGATCACTAATAATGCATGATGTGGTAGGTGAACCGAGGTCCTTAAACTTTGGAAGAGTGTTATGTTGCAAAATTGAGCTCACTTGCTCGGTTAAAACCACTTTTCTTGGTGCTTGGCTCTTGTTCTTCCGCTTTTGGATGCAAAGATCTTTTAAGAATTTGGCATAAGCCGGAATTTGCTTGATTGCATCCAAAAGTGGAAGATTGACTTTCACTTGCCTAAACATTTCTATGATTTCATTGGTTTTTACCTTTTGCTTGTCTTTTGAAATGGATCCTTTTAAGACATCTGGAAATAGAGCTTTTGGCTCAAACACTTTTTCAGCATTTTCTTTTGAAAACTATTCAACATAAGAATTTTTCAAATCACTTTGTTTCAAATCATTTTTCAACAAAACTTTTTCAAATTCATTTTTTGGCAAATCTTTCTTCAAATCATTTTCAAAGTCATTCTTCAAATCACATTTTGAAGCTTTCTCATTCACAAGATCATGTATATACAATGAAGGAGGAATGGTATGTGAAACAGGACGGGTGACAACTTGAGGTTGTACTGGTTCACTCTCTTCATTGAACATGTTAACTTGATTGTCCACAATCCTACCACTCCGTAAGGTAGTTGATAAGCGCCGAATATTGCATATTCAAGCACCCTTAATTCATTATTTAAGTCCATTGTTTGCCTATTTTATGTAGATTATCCCCATTTGTGTGTTTGTATATATTTTCAGGTCCTTTTGCCAAAAAGGAGTACAAATAAGACTTTGTGGATTTTAGACCATCAAAAGGCACAAGGCTGAATTTCTGGCAGCAGTGGAGTAAGGACTTTGCTCGCCATTTCAACCTAGAAAACTCAAGAACTGGACTTCCCTCATAACATTAAATATTTAGAGCTCTGAATTAGCTTTCCAAATCTTCAAACGGTTTGTCATTCAGAGCTCGGAGCAGAGAGTTATGGCCTTGTTACCAGAGGTGCGCAGAACTGCCTGGCAGCAATGAAATTCTGCCTTGATCTTCATTTTCGACCAACCATCCTTGAGAATTGGATCTCCACCAAAACATAAAGTATTTAAATCTCTGCATTAGCTTTCCAAATCTTCAAACAGTTTGTCATTCGGAGTTTGGAGCGCAAAGTTATGACCATTTTACCAAAGTAGGTCCAGGCGGAGCAAACCAAGCATAGGGCATTCTGGCCAATTTTCGAGTGCTCGAGGCCTTATTTCGAGTGCTCAAAATTAGGGCAGATTGCTTCACGAGATCAGCAGTGGAGTCATGACTTTGCTCACCATTTTGACCCAGAAAGCTTGAGAACTGGACTTCCATCATAGCATGAAAGATTTAGAGCTCTGAATTAGCTTTCTAAATCTTCAAACGGTTTGTCATTCGGAGCTCGGAGCAGAGAGTTATGGCCTTTTTACCAGAGGTGCGCAGAACTGCCTGGCAGCAATGAAATTCTGCCTTGATCTTTATTTTCAACCAACCATCCTTGGGATTTGGATCTCCACCAAAACATGAAGTTTTTAGAGCTCTGAATCAGCTTTCTAAATCTTCAAACGGTTCATCATTCGGAGTTTGGAGCGCAAAATTATGGCCATTTTACCAAAGTAGGTCCGGGCGGAGCAAACCAAGCATAGGGCATTTTGCCCAATTTTCGAGTGCTCGAGGCCCTATTTCGAGCACTCGAAATTAGGGCAGAATTCTACACGACTCAGCCCACTTGTGC